ACCAGGATCTGCCTTCTATTTCCTCTCCCCTCCCCTCCAGCCTGCCCCTGTGGTGCCAGAGTTTGCCTGGCACCCCGGGCTGTGCGTGTTGTGTGCTCTGCATGACTCACCTCCTCCGTGGTCTCTGTCCTCGATTTCGTCATCACCGCCGGGCAGACTCCTCCTGTGCGTCTCTGAGCACCTTAGCTGGAAGCAATCTCCAAGCGCCCACCGAGGTCTGTTAAACCTGATGCTCAGTGCTCTTACACGCCAAGTCGTTTCCTTTCGGTGGCAACACTTTCACGTCTCCTCACATTTTAAACTCACTTACCAGAAATTTATCGAATGCTGGCTCCGTCCGAGGCACCGCACTTGGCTTTATCGGAATCATCCCGGATTTGACAAGTGTCCCCTGCGGACGGTGCCTAAATGGATGTTTGTAAGAAAATAAAGCTGGAGTAAAAACTATGTACCCGTTCTTGTTAGAACAATGGGACAGCATTATCGCTGTTTAGAAAGAATTTGTTAGCCCACAGAGTAGCTGTGAGTTTTTAGAGGAGTTGTCTTGATGAACATGTTCGGAACTGATTGTGGCCGTGGGAAAATTTATCCTCTAGACAAGCAGCAGTTCAGAGTTTATGCACAATATGGCAGTTTCTCTAGATGGTGGTGGCCAACGATGTTTCAGCGATGTACTTGTATCCCCTTGTTTTCTTTGAGCATAAGTGCCGTGCGGTTGGAAGAATGTGCTAGTAGTATATTTTAACAATGACTAGTTGACTCATGAAGCAGGTCTTACTAAGACCCGTGGTAAACTGGAATAATGTGTTACGTTGTTTAAGAGATACCTGTGATTTCTTTAATACAGATCTAAATGTGTCACATAGTATATAATTATGTTTCTGTGTTAACTGCTCTTTTTGGGGGGAGGTTTTATTAATAGGGGGTCATAGAAATTGCATGTAAATTAGGTATATTTGACCTGTTAAATTTTGTTTTTCAATTGAGCAAAATATGATAAGAAAATCACAGTCCTTAAAATACCCTGAGAAAGTCCTTGGGTTATAATGTTATAAATGGATATTCATTCATTCCCCAAACCTTTGTGGGGTGTCTGGCGTAGGCTCTGCATTATTCTAGGCTCTGGGAATGTGGTGGGACCGTGGCTCATGTTTCCTGCTGTCCAGCAGCTTATATTCTCATGAGAGAGACAGACAGTACACCAGGACACACACACACACTCACACTCACACACTCACACTCACGCTCGGAGTGAAGACAGCAGCTGGGTAACAGCCAGGTTCCAGTTCCAGTTCCAGTGTGTGGTTTTTCCACACTGCCAAGCAATGCTCGGACCCCAGGTGGGGCGCGGTGGGGTGGTCCCAGGGGCGGGCCGGCAGGCTCGGACCCTACGGGTCTCTGTAGCCCTGGCGAGGAGCTCCAACCTTGTAGGGGCCGTTGGCAGGCACTGTAGGAGTTTCTGCAGGAGGTGGCGTGTGCTTCGTGCTTTTCTAGGAAGGCCCGGTGGTTCTGTGAAGAAGAGAGCGTCAGGGCAGGAGGGAAAGCTGGTCACCAGCGTTAGGATGGGCGAGGCCGAGGCGATGGCGGCTTGGAGCAGGGATGGAGGAGAGGGAAGGGACTCGGATTGCCGATGGGGCTGGGGGTGGGGAGGGAGAGCATATCCATTTATCTTGGTGCAGCACACAGATGAGATGACATGGAGATAGCCACTTAGAGCCCCCACATTCCATTTTGTCCAAGTTAAAAGTTGTTGCACATATTCTTTATTAAAGTGGGGCTGGGTTTTTTTTCAAAGCAAATGCAAGCCAGACACTTAGAGCCTGCTGCCTCTTATATTTACTTGGCTGCAGTGAGTGCAGAGAAATTTGCGTAGAAGATGGCATTTAAACTAAACAAATAGTGTCAGCTAAAAGCATGAGGGCAAACGTGACCTAAACTAGTTAAGTTTGCTAGAAGCTATTTTTTTTTTCTACAGAGAGACCAAGTTCCCTGTGTAACTTGTACAAAATCAGAAAATAGATCTGCATTTTAAAAACCAGATTTAGTAACTTTGTGATCTTCCTGACGTCCTGAATGATGATGGCGTTAATGGTACCCAGGTCAGAGGTCCTGGAGCGGGCTCCGATCTCCTCCTCTGCCTGCAGGCCTCCCCGCTTTCCCGTCTAATTCACAAAGTCATTCCAGGCCAGGTCAGGTCCACCTGGCCATCCTACCAACTCAGCAAGGGGCCTGGCCTGGTGTCTGGTCCTCCCCTGCGGAAGGCAGAGGGAGAGAGGGAAGCCCGGACGAGATCTCAGGTCTCCACTAAGCGGCTGTGGCTGAGCTGTAGGTCCCCCAGGGGAGGGGAGAGTTGAACAGGTGTAGCTCCCAACTCCCTCCCACCTGCCACCACTGGTCCATCTTTTACACCACATGTGTCAAACACAAGGCCCGCGGGCCAAATCCGTCCCGCCAGGCCTTGCAATGTGGCCCGCACCGCGCTGTCATCACTGCGCTCCGCTGCGTTTCCATCACAATGACAGTTTATGACTGTTCAGTAAACCATTCGGCCCGCGATTTAGGCTGGATTTTAGATTTTGGCCCCTTCTCTGATTGAGTTCGACACCCCTATTTTACACAGTGGGCTTTAGAGCGGGGGTGGGGAGCCTTTTTTTTCTGCCAAGGGCCATTGGACGTTTAACACATCACTCAGGAGCCATACCATTGTCTTCCTGCAGGTGTGGCCATGGGAGGGCCGTGTGTGTGAGGTGCGCATGTGACAGGAGGCAGGCTCTTTTAATGATATGCTCGCATGACCATTGTCTTCCTGCAGAATTCTCACATTGAAACTCAGCCCGCTGTATGGGGTCAAACACCTCATTAGCTCACCCCTCGTGCTTTTGCGGGCCTTAAACGGCCCCTGGGCCAAATGTCCCCCGCCCCTGCTGTAGAGTCCTAAGATTTTGCTTAGGTTGAATGGTAAAACAAGTTCTTAAATACTTAAGTCCGCTCCTCTAGGGAGCCGCACGCTTCCCCGCGGAGGCGGTCAAACCACAGGACCCCGTCATTTCTGAATCCCCCGTAGAGAGGAGCCCCACCAGCCAGGGGCGGACACTCACACTCACCGCACAGCCCGGAGCGCCATGGTCCAGCTCCACCCACTGCCTCTGCAGCCAAGACCCCCTCCGAGGCCTCCTCTCTGGGACACTCACATCCCAGGGGCCCCAGGGGCGCTGGGGCCCCGGCTTCTGCTGGTGTTGCCCTCTGCTGGCCTGACCCTGTTTTGGACTTGAGTTCTCCCCACTCTCTGGTTTTGGGGAAAATGTCTCTGTCTTATCCTCTCCTCTTACCTATCTGGCAGAGAATGGCAGCTCAGCAGAGCTGATTGGGGCTCCAAGGGGAGCATTGATGTGAGCTGGGTGACGGGGGAGGAGGGGGGAAGGGCGAGGAGGCATTCAGGCCTTTGGCACAGGAATCCTGCCACTGTGTCTGGTGCCCCTCACCCGGTGCTGTCATGCCCAGGCCCCGCTGCCTGCTGTCACCCATCAGCTCCTTCCCACCCCATCCAGCACAGCAGGGTGCGTGTTGTTGCCCAAAGGGGCCTCTGAAGTCCGTCACCCCCGGGCTGTGCTGGCACAGCTCTCATTGCCTGACAGCGAGGGGGCTGCCTTCCCTCGGGTAACTCACGGGCTGGGGACAGGAGAGGGCAGATGACACCCAGACCCTCCCAGGAAGATGTTGCTGAATGCCGCTGGCTGGCCCGGGCTGGGTGCTGGCTGTGTGGCTCAGTGAGAGGGAACGCGCTTGGGAAACAGAGAGGAGAGGCTGTGGGAGTACACGTGGGAGAGAACCATAGCGCACAGACGTTCTACCTGCCCCTGGCTTCCACCCGCTTCCTGTGGGGCCTTCTCAAGTGAAGCCTCACAGAATCCAAAGTCGGGCCTGGGAGGCCTGGGTGTGGGAGCAGACTTTCCGCCTCCCAGCCTCTCCCTCTGTTGGGGGCCAGGACTTCCCGGAGCGGAACTCGGAAGCGATTGCCTGTGCCGCAGAGAAGAGATGCGGGAGTGAAGGCGGGAGTGAAGGTGTGCGTTCCCCATCGCCACCAACTCCGAGCCCGGCCAGGTAGCCGCTGGCTGCAGGGGTCAGCCTCCCCACAGCCGCTCTGAGATGCAGAGGCCACAGCCCCTCCTGGGTGTCATCTGCCCTCTCCTGCCCCCAGCCCCTGCGTTACCCGCCCACAGTCATCCTTCTGAGTCACGTCTGGTGTCACTCCTTATATTCCTTCTCTGGCTCACCGTCCCGCAAAGGATGCAGGCCGTGGGCACCCCACTCTCTCCTCTGCCTGAGCCTACACCCTGTGGGCCTTCTCTGCTCCCCAGAAGCACCTGCTGGCGGGTTCTCCCACCCCCGCACCCCGCCTCCCAGCCAGACACACTCCTGCTTCAGTCCTGGATTCAGGCTGCAGGCCCCCCATAAAACCTCCCATTTCCCGCTTCTCAGCCTCTCCTCATCTCTCCTCCCTGCTCCAGAGTTGGGGTTCAGCTTCCTCTGGTGCACCTTGAACTTTGGTCTAGGTATCTGTCTCCTCCACTGGCATGGACACTCCCTGAGGGCAGAGGTGTTTGGGGGAGAGGTCCGCTTCACGTTCCCAGACCCCCAGCATGCCTTGCTGGAAAAGCACGCACCGTGTGAATGAACGAGTCCCCGTCACCACAGAGGCATCGTCCCCATGGAGATGCCAGTTAGCAAACACATCGGCTCCCAGTTAATCAAAGCTGAGATGCTTACTCAAAGCCTCGAGCCTTTCGGTGCCCGGATTTGAAGGCGGGTTTTGCGTATCGAGGCCCCTGGACAGCGCCGGGATTTGGTGTTGGCCGTCCTCATAGCACAGGGGCAGTGTGGCCGTGGGAGGGCCGTGTGTGTGTGTGTGTGTGTGTGTGTGTGTGTGTGTGTGTGGTGTGTGTGTGACAGGCGGCGGGCTCTTCTAACGATCCGCTCACGGGACCGTTGTCTTCCTGCAGGTGATGTGTCGCCCATCAGTATGTCCCCCATCAGTCAGTCTCAGTTCATTCCACTCGGGGAGATCCTCTGCCTGGCCATCTCGGCGATGAACTCGGCACGGAAGCCCGTCACGCAGGAAGCCCTGATGGAGCACCTGACCACGTGCTTCCCAGGTAACGGGAGGAGCGGGAGCGCTGGCCGCGTGGTTGAATCTCACAGGAAACACATCGTTGCCGAAAGTGACCGGAAACGTTCCTTAGCTTTCTAATTAAACGTGAAGGCACCTGTGTTCCTTTAAAAAATTATTTGCCTTCCTTCAGCTGTAATACTTCTTTAATTGGCACTGAGCAAAAGAAATTAAATTGGGATCCGGGAGGAATTCTTGCAGAAACTCCCGAGATTCCATTCAACCTTCTCAACACAACCTCCTTTAAATACAGGAACATCGTGAGTCCTGGGAGCGAGTCAGAAACAACGGAAACATTTAATCCTAAGGGATTAAACGAGAGAGAGAGGGGGGGGGGGGATCAAGATAAATGTATCTGGCATGTTTACATCATGGCCTGATGAGCTTTAAGAATATGATATTTAGTAAATTAGTGAAGATCTCATGATGAAAGAAAAAAAATGAAATGTTTTTTCTTAATGTCATCATTAGAAGACACTAGTCCAGCTGCTGTGTGGAGGGCCTTGGCTGCCCCAGTGCTGGAAGGTCTTAGGATGGGGAGGAGCTAAAGACGGGGGGCCCCATCTCCAGGAGGCAGCCCACTCCTCAGCCCCAGTGTGTTGTCCCCTCTCCTCCAAAATGTAAGGCCCTGCCAGCGTTGCCAAACCTCCACCTTCTTCAAGAGAATCTGGAAATTCAGTTTCACGTGGCATCTCTGCGTCACCCTAAGTATTGGCAATCGTGTGCGTGTGAATTTTACCCTGGTATGCCGACAGCACTCAAGCCAAGTAAAACACGTTACTGGGTCATCGGTTTGTCAGCTTGATTTGGATGCAGCCTCTGCCTCGATGGAAAGAGAGCTTCCTTACGTTGAGCACAGACGCTTCTCCTATTTTTTCGTCCAGCGGACCAGAGACCGTAGTAAATACAGGGAGTCCCCGAGAAACGAACACGCACTTGGAATGCTCATAAAGTCAGTGTTCATTAGCAAGCCGTTCATTTTCAAAGTTTAAAAGAACCCGCAGAAATGAAGAATGTTCTTGTTAGCCCCTGTTTTCAAAGTGATGACCGTCCGGTCCGGGCACTGCTGATAACTCGAAACAAGGGAGCCTCAAGCATCAAGAGTCATTTTGTTCATTTTTGTGTGCCCTCAATTCGGCGACTGTGCTGGTTTTGTACCGTAAACGTGGTCTTTTATGTGTCTCCATAAAATAAAGTCTAGAGGCACGTTAGGATAAATTTTCGTCGTTTGAAGCTCAGTCTGCCTTCACCCATTATTTCAAATCAATCACACCTGAAAAGGAGGGACAATTAAGTGAGTTGTCAGCTGTTAACATATGTATACATTGTTTTTGGTACACCTTATATAAGCAGTTGGTTGCATCAGTTAGTGTTTGCTGCAAAACAGCTGGGTAACAAACAACCACAGAACATCGGTGGCCTACAAACACACATTTGTTTAGCTCCAGGAGTCAGATGGTTCAGACGGGTCCTAGCCAGGTGGCTCCTCTTCCCCTGCACCCCATCCTCTCAAGCAGAGTCCTATTCTGTGTATCGGGGTGGCAAATGCACAAGAAAGCCCAGCCAGTTGCACAAGGGCTCTTCAGCCTTTCGGTGACGTCACGCCCAGACACGTGTCGTTGGCCAAACTCAAAGTCCAGGCGTGGGGAATCGCTGTGGGGGAGGGCAGAAAGACTGCTTCCAAACTGCTGACAGCCCTTAAAGGAGGGGCTGACCAGACTGAGTCTCCCCACTTTTCTTGGTCATGTGTTCTCCTCTTTCCGCTTCTCCGTTAACACGTGTGAAACTGATGTGTATTGTTTAAAAACCCCAACAGGAACCTGCCCTGGGGACCTATGAATTGTCTTAAGTTTTACAATGTTTCCAATCTCTGCATGTCCTTCACTGTATGATGGTCTCTCCTTGTTAACTTCCAGGCAAATTCATTTCCTTTCGGTAGGAAGGTGAGAGAGGACTTGGGTTGGGTAGAAAGCTGGTCTTAGCTGTTGAAGCTCTCAAAGCCTGAATTCCTGACGAACTTCGGGGGTAGAATCAGAAAGGGATGGGATGTTCCTGGTATCCATCCCAAACATAACTCTTTCAGTGACAGGTGACTCCCAGGGATATAGACAATTCAAAACGAATTGGGGGGCTTACACATATTTCAATAAAATCATCTTCATCAATATCAGTGGCTTTTAGGGAAGACTGTGAAAATGCACAGGCAGAAGCCTGGACAATGACTGAACAGAGGATGTTTCTAGGGTAGTGTTTTTGTTCTTTTAATTAAACATTCTTTGATAGATATACTTCCAGATACAAAACATAAACACTTGAGATGTAACATCTCTATGGAAATGCTTGGTAAGGAATGATTACAGTGTACTCATGATTCTGTATAATGTTGTAAGTGTTCTGAGATCATCCCTTAGAAGACCTACATTCAGCAAATTCTAGAATACAGTTAAATTTTCATTTTGTAGTAATAGCCATTTTTATGAATTAGGCCATTTCCTTTAATATAACCGCATAGTAAACTCAATTGTGAAGTCTTAAAAATGAACCTTACCTTTAAACAAAACAAAACAAAACTTATTTGAATTTTCTTTTAATTTTTTATTTTAATTGATTTGAGAGAGAGAGAGAGAGAGAGAGAGAGAGAGAGTTGTGGGGAGGGAGGGTTTGATGTTCCACTCACTTATGAATTCATTGGTTGATAATATATGTGTCCTGACCGGTGATTGAACCCACAGTCTTGGAGCATTGGGATGATGCTCTAACCATCTGAGCTACCCAGCCAGGGCAACTTCTTTCTATTTTACTATTACTGCATGGGTGCTACCGTGTGAGATCTCTGTTTTACATGTGTGTTTGCTGTCTGGATGACTGTGCTGCACAGCTCCTGGGGTGTCATCCATGAGACTGCGGTGTAAGTGGGGGTCTCATCTCAGGAGCTGAATTCAGCGTGAAGTTGTTCTGACTGATAACGGGCGTGGCAGCTCCTTTGAAGTTGCATTCTCGTGTACTGGCAGTTTTTGTCTTATGCCGGTGCTCAAGAATTGCATAGATAAGGTTTGGGTCCTATCACTAATTCAACTGGCATTTGTTTTTATTTTGTGCAGAAACGCGCATGAAATTTAGGGGAAACGTTGTGCTTATCCCGGCCTTGGCATCATTTGCGTGAAAACCGTGTGCGTTTCTCAGGAGTAGAGCCTAGATCGAAAGTAAGCATGGGGGCCCACAATGAAACAATTCTGTGAAATAATACCTTCTTCGTCGGCACCGCTCCCTTTCCCACCCGGTCGCTAAGGATGGCATCATGCCTTCTGAAGGTGGCAACGAAACATCACGTTCATGGCCTTGCTCCCCTTGAGAACTCCAGGCTGTCACCTGATGCTTTCCTATCCCACCTTCACAGGGTGGAAGGATGGGGGGAGCCTACCCTTCTACGCTTACCCAGCTGCTCTAGATTGCTATACAGTGTTCTTTGAAAGTGATCTAGGTTTCCATGGACTTGACCCAAAGTTGAGACTTCTCATAGCTAATATGTATGGAGAACTCACTGTATGTCTGGCACTGCTGTACATACATGAGACTCAAGTGAACTCACAACTCTGTGAGCAGAGGTGCTATGAGGGTCCACATTTGGATGGTAATAAGTAGAGACTTGGAGAGGGTAGGCTGCCTATGAAGATACCAATTGTATTCGTTTTGTAGAGCAGCTACAACATGGTACAGGTGGCTTACACCGCAGAAACGGATTGTCTTACAGCTCTGGAGGCTAGAAGTCCGACACCCAGGTCTTGGTAGAGCTGGCTGGCTCCCTCCGAAGGCTGAGGGACAGATCTGCTCCACGACTGTGTCCTTGGCTCGTAGACAGCTGTCTTCTCCTGGGGTCTCCTGCCGTTGTCTTCTCTATGCATGTCTCTACGTCCCGACTTCGCCTCTAAAGATGATACCTGTTATGTTGGCTGAGGGCCCACCTGGTGACCTCACTCTAACTTGATTATCTCTAGAAAGACCCGCACCTGCAAGTGAGGCTGCATTCTGAGGCCCTGGGAGTTAGGACTGCAGCATATGAATGGCAGAGGGTGGGGGTGGGGCCATAATTCAACCAGTCGCATCAGTGAAAGGCGATGGATTTCTATCCAGAAGCCTGGCCCTGGAGCCCAAGCAGTGGTTTCAGACGTGGTTGAATATCGGCAGTATGATTCAACCAGACTTGCTTCCAGATTGCCGTCATGCACCTCATAGGATGTTTGGTCAACAACAGACGGTATAGAGTACATGTGTCAAACACAAGGCCCGCGGGCCAAATCCGTCCTGCCAGGCCTTGCAATGTGGCCCGCACCGCGCTGTCATCACTGCACTCCGCTGCGTTTCCATCACAATGACAGTTTAAGACTGTTCAGTAAACCATTCGGCCCGCGATTTAGGCTGGATTTTAGATTTTGGCCCCTTCTCTGATTGAGTTCGACACCCCTAGTATAGAGGATGGAGGTCCCGTGAGATTACAATGGAGCTGAATTTCCTATAGGAGATGGAAGGACAGGTAGTTCAGCAGTTTTTCTCTCTGATGGGATCAGTGTCTGTGGGGCTTGGCAACCACACTTTACTGTGCCTTCTCTGTGTTTAGATAGACAAACGCTATCATTACATTACAACTGTCTGCGGTATTCAGTGCGGTAACATGCTCCACAGGATTGTAGCCTGGGAGCAGTAGGCTACATACTCCATGCAGCCTAGGTGTGTAGTAGGCTGCACCCCTTAGGTTTGTGTACGTGCACTCAGAGATGTTCATCTGACGGCGAAACACGCCTGAGAATACATTTCTCAGAATGTATCCCCGTAGCCAAGTGACGCATGACAGCTCAGCGTTAAGGTCCGTCTTGGAAATGCCATCGCCCTCAGTGTGCCTGGCTGTGTGTAGTGGAGAACAGCCAGGAAGTAAAACAAATGCACTCCGGCCTGGAGAACGTGCACTTTCTAAGTACACATCCTCCTCATCCTGCCTCTTACCGTAGCCGGACACAAAAACGCACACAAAACCCTTTGAAATCTCTTTCTTTTCCTTCTGAGATCTCTGTTCTAACAAATGTGGCAGCATGGGTCCAGGGACCAGACAGACGTAGAAGGTCTAAGCTTTCACGAGTGTACTTCTTAGGGCTCTCTGGTTACTAAGTAGGAAACCCACCTCCGTCCTGCTGACGTATGCCGAGAAGAAGGCTCTGACCTGAATTCCCCCCGGGGTCTCATCCCGTCCCAGATCGAAGGTGATGATTGGGAAATCGGAGAGTACTACAGAATTAACAATGGTCAGGTCCATTTGCCCTTTTGTATAATTTACAAAATTCAGTTTATTAAGTAAACATAATCTTAGAAAAATATATAGAATACCTTCAAATATATAGGGGAACCTCTATCTAGTTTAGAATAGTTTTTCAATACCAAGATGGCTATTTCAACCCTGTCCCCTAGTTGCTTTTATTGAAAAAAATCTTTTGTTCATTTATATTCTATCATGTAAAACATTTTTTATGTCTCCCCTCATTTAGAAATATTCTGCCTTTAAAAACTCGGTTGAGTAAAGCTTTGTAACCACAGTAGCAACCTAACCTCATCTAACAGCCCCCCCCCCCCCCCCCAGCTCATTTGTATTTTCCCATTCTGTTGGTGGTAATACTCATGAGAGTCATCAGAGAAAATCAGGATTCCCACTAAACTTAGTGAGCACCTTTGAAAGCTGTTTACCTGCTATATGATAATCCTTGGAAGCGTGGCCAAATCAATAGGATTTTGTCTTAGTCCATTTGGGCTGCAGTAACAAAAGACCATTGACTCGGAGGCTTTGACAACAGACACTTGTTTCTCACGGTTCTGGAGGCTGGGAAGTAAGTCCAAGGTCAGGGCACCCACACATCTGCTGTCTAGTGAGGAGCCTCTTCAGACTAAAAAAAAAAAAAATCAGGAATCACATTTGCGACAGCATGGATGGGCCTGGAGAGCATTTGCTAAGCGCAATAAGCCAGTCAGAGAAGGAGAAGTATCACGTGGTCTCGCTCATAGTGGAATCTAATGAACAGAATAGATCCAGAGACACAGAAGCATGGAATGGATTGGACTCTGAGAGGGAAGGTGGGGAGGGTGGGTGGGTGGGTGGGAAAGAGGTCAACCAAAGAACTTGTATGCATGTGTAGTAGGCTGTACCTACAGATACAGGCAATAGGGTGGTAAAGGCCTGGGGTATGGGGTGGGGTCGGGCTAGACAAGGTCAATGGGGGAAGAAAGGGAACATATGTAATACTTTCAACAATAATGATTTTTAAATCCTCTATAATAAAAGGCCAATATGCAAATTGACCAAATGGTGGAACAACCAATCGCTGTGATGCACACTGATCACCGGGGGAAGATGCTTAATGCAGGAACTGCCCCCTGGTGGTCAGTGCACTTCCATGAGGGGAGTGCTACTCAGCAGAAGTCCTGAGCTGGGCTCATGGCTGGCAAGCACAGCAGCAGTGGCAGGAGCCTCACCTGCCTCCATAGTAGAGCTAAGGATGTCTGACTGCTGGCTTAGGCCTGCTCCCCCGAGGACATCCCCCGAGGACTTCCATACTGTGAGAGGGCACAGGCCAGGCTGAGGGACCCCAGTCATATGCACATTGGGGACGACCAGCTGGCAAGGGAGCAGTCAGGGGCATTAGGCAGGCAGGCAGGTGAGTGGTTAGGAGCCAGTGGTCCTGGATTGCAACAGAGGGATATCCGACTGCCAGTGTGAAATTGGGCCTAAACCGGCAGTCGGACATCCCCCGAGGGGTGTCCCAGATCGGAAAGGGTGCAGGTTGGGCTTTAATTTTAAATTCTGTGCACCGGGCCTCTAGTAAATAAATAATTAAAAAAAATCAGGAATCAACAACGTGTTTCCTCTCCCTTCTCACGAGCGTGTTCTCTCGCTCTCAGGTGTTCCCACCCCCAGCCAGGAGATCCTGCGGCACACCCTGAACACGCTGGTGCGGGAGAGGAAGATCTACCCGACCCCCGATGGCTACTTCATCGTGACCCCACAGACGTACTTCATCACCCCTTCCCTTATAAGAACTAACAGCAAGTGGTACCACTTGGACGAGAGGATCCCCGACCGGTCCCAGTGCACCTCCCCGCAGCCCGGAACCATCACGCCCTCCGCCGCGGGCTGCGTCCGGGAGAGGACCCTGCCCAGAAACCACTGCGACTCTTGCCACTGCTGCCGGGAGGACATGCACAGCATGCACGCATCTACCCTGCAGCGGAAGCCCGCCAAGGACTGCAAGGACCCCTACTGCCCGGCGCCCCCCGCCGAGAAGAGCAAGAGCACCGTCAACTTCTCCTACAAGGCGGAGACGCTCTCCAAGCCCAAGGACGGCGAGAAGCCGTCCAAGAAGTTCGGGCTCAAGCTCTTCCGGCTGAGCTTCAAGAAGGACAAGACCAAGCAGCTGGCCAACTTCTCCGCCCAGTTCCCCCCCGAGGAGTGGCCCCTTCGGGACGAGGACACGCCCACGGCCATCCCGCGGGAGGTGGAGATGGAGATCATCCGGCGCATCAACCCCGACCTCACGGTGGAGAACGTCATGCGGCACACGGCGCTGATGAAGAAGCTGGAGGAGGAGAAGGCGCACCGCAGCAAGGCGGGCTCCTCGGCCCACCACAGCGGCAGGAGCAAGAAGAGCAGGACCCACCGCAAGTCGCACGGCAAGTCGCGCTCCCACAGCAAGACGCGCGCGTCCAAGGGGGACCCGTCCGAGGGCTCCCACCTGGACGCGCCCGGGGAGCGGGAGTACGAGTTCTGCGACCCCCTGAGCCGGGTGCCCCGGGAGGGCTGCTTCATCATCGAGCACAAGGGCGAGAACTTCATCATGCACAGCACCCCCAGCCTGCTGGAGCCCCACTTCCCCATGACGCCCGAGTGGGACGTGTCCGGGGAGCTGGCCAAACGGAGGACGGAGATGCCCTTCCCCGAGCCCTCCCGGGGCAGCTCCCACTCCAAAGTGCACCGAAGCCACAGCCATACCCAGGACCGGCGGTCCCGCAACGAGAGGCCCAGCAAAGCCAAGGAGAGGTCCAGGTCCATGGACAATTCCAAGGGCCCCCTGGGCACGTCCTCGCTGGGGACGCCCGATGACCTGGCCGAGGGCTGCAGCCAGGGCGACCAAACCCCCGTCCAGGCGTCCTTCGCGGACGACGGCACTCTGAGGGCTGCCCAGGCGGCCGGCCACCAAAGGGCTCACATTTTGTCCCCGAGCTACAAAGAGGCGTGCATCCCCGAAATAGTCAGCGGCGGCAAGGAGCCGTCCAGCAGCCTCCTGGAGCCAGGCAAGGCCCCCGAGAGTTTGCCGTCCTTCGGGGACCTCAATTCCTGTCCCACAAAAGCGGCAACGGACGACTATTTCCAGTGCAACACCTCCAGCGAGACGGTGCTCACGGCGCCCTCGCCTCTGGGAAAGAATAAGGAGGACCATGACCCTCTGACCATGGCCGAAGGGGTGAAAAAGCTGCCGCTGTCCGACAGGCAGACCCCGGTCTCCTCCAGGGAGCCCGGAGGACACAAGGAGGAGTCGCCCGCGGGGCTGGGCGGGGGCCCGGCCGCTCCGGGCTCGGCGGGGGCGGCGGACGGGCTGGCCAACGGACGCCTCGTGCAGCATCACGGCGCCGAGCCCAGCAGCCTGGACAAGAGGAAAGAGATCTTCAGCAAAGACACCCTGTTCAAACCTCTGCACAGCACCCTGTCCGTCAACAGCTACCACAAATCCAGCCTGTCCCTCCTCAAAGCGCACTCCAAGTCCCCCGTGGACACGCTGCAGGGCCGCTGCGAGAAGCTGGAGCCGGCCCTGGGCTCGGCGGCCGCCCAGGTCCTGCCGGCCCTGCAGCGCCAGCAGGAGCCCGGGGGCACCCAGGAAGCCTCCTTTGACTATTACAACGTCTCCGACGACGACGACTCAGAGGAGGGGGCGAACAAAGCCGCCGAGGAGGAGAAGAACCGAGACGACGTGGGCACCATGCAGTGGCTCCTGGAGAGGGAGAAGGAACGGGACTTGCAGAGGAAATTCGAGAAGAACCTCACCCTCCTCGCCCCCAAAGACACGGACAGCAGCGGCCACCAGAGGGCCACCCACTCGGCACGCCTGGACAGCATGGACAGCAGCAGCATCACTGTGGACAGTGGATTCAACTCGCCACGGTAGGAAGAGGCGCTCTGCACACACACACACACACCCCACCCCACCCCACCCCACCCCCCGGGGCCGGGGGCCGGGGGCCGGGGGCAGACACCTGGAAGAAAGCGTCAGGTTCCGCGGGCTCAGCTCGTGGACGAGGGTGCGGGCTGGGTGCGCTGTGTTGGTAACCGCCTGTCTCTGGCTTCTTTTGCAGGACTTGAAACAAGTGTTTCTGCAGCTGTAGAGAGCGCCAATCTGGACTGGTGGGTTGGCTGGCCCCTCACACTTGCCTCAGTCCAATCTAAGACCATCATTTCCCAGTATTTTTTTTCTTCCATGTTTACATTGCCCTCATGCTGGTAAAGAAAGGGTGTTTTGTTTCGTTTTGTTTTCTTTAAGTGCTTCAAAAATTGAGCAGAATGAGGAGTTGGTGGGGGTTGGAAATGAATTGATGGACTCAAGGATGAGAGTTCCTCTAGTGAGAACATACAGTTGATTCTTGAACAATCTGGGTGTGGACTGCCCAGGTCAATTAGGGACAGCTTTTTTTTTCTTTTATAAAATATATTTTTATTGATTTCAGAGAGAAAGGGAGAGAGCAAGAAAGACAGAAACATCAATGATGAAAGAGAATCATGGATCAGCTGCCTCCTGCACATATCCCTACTGGGGATCAAGCCCGCAACCCAGGCCTGTGCCCTGACCGGGAATCAAACTGTGACCTCCTGGTTCATAGGTTGATGCTCAACCACCAAGCAACACTGGCTGGAAAAGGGTAGATTTATTTTTTTTCAATAAATACCATAAATGTACTTTCTCTTCCTTATGACTTCCTTGATGACATTTTCTTTTCTGTAGTTAATTTTTTAAAATATATTTTATTGATTTTTTTACAGAGAGGAAGGGAGAGGGATAGAGAGTTAGAAACATCGATGAGAGAGAGAAAATCGATCAGCTGCCTCCTGCACACCTCCTACTGGGGATGTGCCCGCAACCAAGATACATGCCCTTGACCGGAATCAAACCCGGGACCTTTCAGTCTGCAGGCCGACGCTCTATCCACTGAGCCAAACTGATCAGGGCTGAAGCTCACTTTATTGTAAGAATACAGTACATAATACATATAACATACCAATAAGAGTTAGCTGACTGTTATCAGTAATGCTTACAGTTAGCAGTAAGCTATTAGTAGTTAAATTTTGGGTGAGTCCCAAGTTACACACACATTTTTGACACTGCAGGTGGGGGTGGGTCAACACCCCTAACCACTGTGTTGTTCAAGGGTCAACTGTAAAAGTAGATCTCAACACCTTGCCAGTGGATGTAGAAGCTTGTTGCCATGTTAACGAGCTTCCAGGTGGCTCTCTCCATCTTCCTCATGCAGCTTCCTCTCCCCACTCATGTGCCCACCGAGAAATGGACCTTATTTCTCCCGCAGAAAGAATGGGGGACTGTGCTCTCTTAGATCAAAGCACGTGCCAGCACTGCTGTTCCTCCTCCTGTAGCACTGACACACCTGTAAGGGTCCTCTAGTCGCAGTGCTTGTTTTTAGTGGGTGCTGGTGGCTCGGCGAAGGCTGGGCAGTTGAGAGTATGTAACGCTCAGTGGTCACATCCAGTGCACTGAAGTGGTTCAGGGGTTCAGGAAGCAAGAGAGAGTCTGTGCACCTCCCCTTTATTTCTGCTTAACTCTTCCTTCTCCTCAAAGAGCAGCGCGGGGCCTCATTCTCTTACTAAATTTTACTCCAGATTGGTGACTCTGAGGTGCAGAAATGCGATGAGAGGTGGACATTTCCCAAGATTTTATCATATTTATAAATTTAGCAAGTATCCAGATACGGTTCTTTTCATTATTAAGAATTATAATTAGTCCTAGTGTGATCATTTCACTGTATCTCTGGGTAATTTGGGGACGGAGCATCCCAAAATTAGAATTTGGGAATTGTCAGTCTGTTTGTCACAGATTAAGCCTTTATTTTTCTTAAAGGAGTAGTTCTTGATTATTATCATCATCACCATCATTATCATCATCATTATTGTAACCTTTCATCATCATCATCATCATCATCAGTGTCATGTAACCTTCTTTCATCATAATCATCATCATCATCATTGTCATGTAACCTTTCTTTTTCTTCTTCATCATCATCATCATCATCATTGTCAGGTAACCTTCTTTCATCATCATCATCATCATCATCATCATTATTGTCATGTAACCTTCTTTCTTCTTCATCATCATTGTCATGTAACCTTCTTTCCAAGTTAACGCATGTGGAAGTCTAGTATCTAAACAGACCACAGCACTGGCACTCTGGTTGGAGTGGTGAGAGAGCAGGAGTCCCAGGTCTCTGCTGCCGTCCCTGGAAGAGCCCTCAGGGACCTCAGGGAGCTTGTGACTCAGTCTGAAAACTACAGGTCTATTAAGTGACTTTTCTAAGTCATAACCTTTGCTCTCTATTTTCCAAATCAAATCTTATTTATCAGTTATGTGGTACATCCTTTCCTTTCTATTTCTTCCTTCTACTCCTTCTCCTCTTGAGTTTCTAGCAGTGGACACCATACAGACATAATTGAAGGTCTGTAATGGATGGTAGACGTTCAAGACCGTCACTTACAGAAGGTGTGCTTTACCTGCCTGTACCTTAGGCTCCACTCTTTCTTATTTCTACCCACCTGATGCTTCTCACACAGCAGTTTCCTACCCTTCATTTTGCCTCTTGACCCCTGGACCGCCACTGAGGGAAAGCATTAGACCTCCAGAGATACTAAAAGGACATTGAGGGTAGCTTAATGGTTCTAACTCAAGAATTTATAAAGAAGTTTATTTGCATTTCTCCAAGTGCTTTGTCATGGTAGAAGGTAAAGGTTGTTCACAGGAGGCAACCTTCACACATTAGCTCTGTGTCTGCCCACTGTTACTAGGTAGAATTTTCTCTGTAAGACTGTCGCTCACCCATAAGGTTCATGCAGTTAGCACATAGCGGTTTCTTCTTGTATCCCTTTCATATTTAATACGCATTGATTACAGGCTAGATGACAAACTGGCTTTCTATACCCATTTTTAAACTGTATTTCCTGTACGCCTCAGTCAATTCCCTTAGCTGCCTTTCTAATGGATGGGTGAGGAGAGTCTACAAATGAGAATGTTTGAGTTATAGGGAGTTTTACTCACGAGCGTGAGGAGTATTTTAGCCAAATAGCATTATCATACTGACACCTCCCCCGAGTTGTGAGATACAGAAATCTTAAGTGGGCCATTTATTTGGGTCTTTCAGTAAATAATTCACCGAGCAACTAAGATTCAACTGAAAACACACACAAATAACGCCTCCCCTCTCCAGAAATGGTGATTGCCACATTCAACTTTCAATCAAGTTCAACCACATTCCCAGAATTCCTCAGTCCCTTTTCTTAGAAAGGGGGTTGAGAAGGAAAAAAAAAAACACATAGTAACTTAAGCTATGTCATAGATCTAACATTGAAAAGGAAATTTTTTGACATGAAAAGTCTGCTGTTCCAAATCTGAGCCCCAAACTGGTGGATAAACATAGAATGAAAATCAGAGGCTGCGGCGGGGATGTCTGTCTAATGTGCCGTGTGCCATGTGCTGGGGGCTGCACGGAACGCATGTTCCAGGCGGGCGGGCGACAGCTCCTGGGACAGGTCATCTGCCTGTGAGACATGGAGACCTCCAGGCGGCACTCCATTCATTCTCTTATTAAAAAACAAACAAACAAAAAAAACACGTTTAAATTTGAGGGATATTTTTACTGATACTGCTCCATCTTCATGAACTTCTTCATCATCATATCCTGAGCCCTCGATAGGAATGCCACACACGGGAGGTCTGTATGCATTTGTCACAATGAATAGGTTGGCCATGGCAGAGAGGCAGCTTGGAGCACAGACAGCTACCAAAACGTAGGCGGTCCATCGCAGGGAGGTGTGTTTGCAGGGCCTGGCACAGGGCCTGGCCTATAGCAGGTACGTGTTAGGCCCATGCCTTAAAAGCCTATTAAAAAGTGGGGTTTTTGGAACTTTAAATGTATTTTCCCATAAAGAAGGGCCCCCATGGATTCCTACACCAACCCACACAGTAGCTACTCTGTGCATGACATGCTAGATACAGAACGGAAGTAACTTCCACATGTCTAGCTTCTCAGTGTACACATTCTGCATCAACGCCCGTTTCTTCATGGCCACTCTGTGAGTAGGTAAATCACGTACTTTTCCCGATGTTAAAAATGAAGTGAAATACCTGAGGAGAAATATTATCATGGTTAAGGATGAAACTGAAGGAACCTGTCATGAAATCTCTGGGGTTGACATGTTTTTCCCCTCCCTCCCTCCCCCTGACTGTGCCTCGGCTGGGGCTGGCAAGCCTCCGATGGGCTTTCCTAGGAAGTGGTGAGCGGGAAGCCGGGCACGTTCCATCCCTGTAGCCCGGATGTGTTGCGTATTCTCTCGGCAGGCCCAGAGTAGCCATAGGCACAATGGAAGAACTTCTGTAAATGTCTTAACCTTTAGCGGGACCCTCGGAGTCCAGGAATGTCCAGCAGTCTCTTTGGTAGTCGACAAACACAGTTTCCTTTGAACAGTGAGCTCTTGGCTCCTTGGTGAGACGCAAACTCAAGGCCACGAGGGCTTAGGATAAAATAACCTGTTAGTAAGGGCTGCCAAGGTCTAGGGTTTAGGCAAAATTGCCATCAGCTTTGGAGGAGGCTGAGAGAGTGGATGTCCACCATCGCCCTTTGACCTGCAGGCTAGCTTCCGCAGGCTTTGCTCAGTCCTGGGACCAGCGCTCATCAAGTGTTTTGTAAACCTCGACTCTGTCCAGTAGGATGGGTGCTTTGGTCTCTCTGTAAGCTGGTAAGTTTCTTATTACCATTTGAGGACCTTGAACATCCGTTCAGTTCCCATCAGTCAGGCCAATAATCCTTATTCCCGCTATTGCTCCACACGTTTGAAATCTTCAAATGTTTCTAAATCTCTTGGAGCAATAAACTAGCTTCTGGTAATCTAACTCAGAACAATGAAGAGAAACCAAAATACTAACGTCTTTAGGTCCCCTCTATTCTCTAAGAATCTCTTAAAATATAAAATATTTCTACCCAAAGTGCATGTGTGTGTGTAGGGGGGGGTGCGAGGATAAATGCAAACTTCACCAACAAGTGAGTAACATCTGAGATGCCTCATCAGAAAATACTAATGTATTTTCTCCGAAGTGTGAACATCTGACCCAGAGGTATGACGGTGTCTGCAAAGGGTTTTATTTCCACCAGTGCCGCAGGGTAGCATGCTTGAGGTCCAGCAACGTCAGAATCTGCCCCTGGAGAGTGAAAACAGAACCTTGAGGGTACAATTACTGAGCTGGTAGAGGGGCAGTTGTATCAGTGAATTCCCCGCCTGAAATGAGATCATTACAGGTGTATATTTACAAGTATTTCATTTTTTTAATTTTTATTTTTTTAAAAATTTAAATATATTTTTTATTGATTTTTTACAGAGAGGAAGGGAGAGAAATAGAGAGCTAGAAACATCAATGAGAGAGAAACATCGACCAGCTGCCTCTTGCACACCCTCCACTGGGGATGTGCCCACAACCAAGGTACATGCCCGTGACCGGAATCGAACCTGGGACCCTTCAGTCCGCAGGCCGACGTTCTATCCACGGAGCCAAACAGGTTTCGGCATATTTACGAGTATTTTAAAAAAACCCCGATGCGGTCGCTGTAGATCACATTGAACTTGGAAGGAGTTTCCTCGAATGGGACAGGAGGGGCAGGCGTTTAAAGGGCACGTAGCTGTAGAAGACCCTCCGTGCCTTGGGTTGCTGGTTGCACACGTGTGTGCCGCTGCCGGAGCTGTGCAGGCGCGTGTGTACATGCTCAGGGGTAGGCTGACTGTCTCTGGCATTCTAAGCCCACAGGGGAAACGCATTACCTCCGTCGTGTGCTCTTCCTCTGGAACTCGCTGCGTAACCGTTTATGTTCCAAACAAAACAAACCCTTTTTGCTCTTCTAGCACCAGGGAGAGCCTGGCCTCCAACACGTCGAGCATCGTGGAAAGTAACCGCCGCCAGAACCCTACCCTGAGCCCGGCCCACAGCGGGGCCGGCCCGGCCTTCAGCTTCCGAGCGAGCACGGACACCCCCACCAGCGAAGCTGAGAAGCTGCAGAAAGCTTCCAACTGCCTGCAAGCCTCGGTGACGAGCGTGTGACGGCCGTCCGGCCCCGATCTCCGCCCCGCCCGGCACAGCCACGTTTACGACACTGGGACTGATGTTTACATCTTCGGAAAGACGAGCATCTCCCCCGCAGTTTGGGTGTTTACTTAAACTGTGCTGCTAAGTAGGCTAGAGCGAAACACACCAGCCTTTCTTTCCGAGTATTGCTTTCTCCCATGTATGGCTCTGTAGCGACAGAATAGCGGTAGGGGTGATACGTACACTTTCTGCTTCACTAATTGTAACTGAGCACACCTAGGAGAGTCTAGACACTGTACGTGTAAGAGCATTTCCAATGTCATGCCAACGCCGTTTCTACATGCCACGGGTGCGTGCTGCTCCCTGTCTGTGGGCAGATGGTGCCCCCAGAACTGATGCTCCACACTTCCAAACAAACAAACCAACAAACCAACCAACAAACACGGCGCAGCCACCGCACAGTGTCCCACGCCACGGCCCGCGGGGAGGGGAGGCCATGCCAAACAGCCGAGAAGGGACCCCGGCCCCCGGCCCCCGGTGTGTGGATCGCGTGGCACCGTCACTCCCTCGCTGTGAGTTTCCGTGGCGCGGTCTCGCAGGGGCCCGTGGAAGCGCGTCCGCGGGGGCTGGGGTGGAGAGCCTGGGGGGGTGTGTTGTCAGGATTTTGTTTTTAAGTCCAAGATGCTTGTCTTGAGTTCTAGCCGTCACCGTCACTAACAGGAATATAGGCCTTTGGATCTGAAGTGGGTAGAAAGGAAGGGCCCCCAGCCTGGCGGGGCTCCGCGCTCGTGCTGGAAGCGGGGGCGCGGGCTCTTAGGAAAGGTGCGAGTGGGAATCGGTGAGGGGATCACTTCCTGTCCGGGAGAGGGACCGTGATTCCTGTCTCGCCATCATAGATGCGATCATGAGTTTGTCTAGAAAGCAAAATGTTCTTTGTGATACAAATGAAGCGTATGGCCTGGGGATGTTATTCTTTCTAATGGAAGGACGTAAATCTATTTTATGTAGTTTTAAATAGAATGCCTAAATTAGGCTGTGGGAGATAATTTTTAGTGGTTCTAGGAAAGAGCAGGTTGAGGGAGAGTTGGACTTCAGGCCTTTTATTCCTGGGAAGATATCTATAGAGAAGACATGAAGTGTAGTTTTTGACCAGAAATATATAGGTGTGCCCCTGTAACGAACAACAGAATGTGCTCATTCTGCAAACGTGGTGTGATTCTAACCTGTACTCCCCTTACGATCGACCGGAACGACCATTATGCATACATGGACTATGCCAGAGTGATGTTTACAGAGACCGGGGCCCGGTTCAGGAGGCATGTGTAGTCGGGTGTGTGTGGCGATCGGCCGGCGTACTTCAGGACGGTTGGTTCGCATTTGGCTTTGGTTTACGATGTCACGTGGAATGCAGAGGAAGCCGGGCGGCGGCAGAGGGATGACAAATAGCCAAGCTTCAGCTTTCCAGAAAAGGCTCTTTATTTATTTTATGGGAGCAGTGGAATCGACGTAGATCATGGGAAAAGCATTCGCAAAAGGGTTACATAGGACACAAGTAAACGGTCTGACAAGATAAAACAAAAGTTTACTTAGCTCAGTGGCATGTGATGTTTGGAGCCAGAAAACACATATCCAAAAGTCAGTCTCGGAGCCAGCCACGGCTCCGCGTGTGTGAAGCCCCAGAGTCGGGCTCCCTCGCTGGCGGTCCCTTCAGAGACCGCAGTCGCCTGCGCGGCCAGACTGATTCCTGCATCAGTGGGGTGCTCCCTGGTGCTCCCTCAGATATTTGGAAGTTGCGTGGTGAGCCAGACGCCTCGGGGCTGTATCGGCTCCTTGTCTGTGCTTAGGGCGAAACCTAAGCACAGGTCGCAGTCGGCTCCCACACCCCTGACAGGCTCCCGTCGGTTGGCGTGCCGTGCCATGCCCCTCTTCCTCCGAGGCATGCCCGATGGCTCCGCCAGCCCCCGTCTCACGGCCTAACCGTGTCCAGAGGAGGGATAGCGTCTCAGAGACTCCATTGCGAGTCTGTTTCCCTGGGGAGTTGTATACCATTCAGTTACTAAATTCTCCTGTCGAAATTCATCCTCCCCCCTCCTCCACTCCCCCCCAAAAGAATCCTGCTCTGCAGTGTTCACCGTACACTCAGCTCATAAATAACATAACCATTGAAACAGCCCGCCAGCCTCAGGTTGATCCCCTGGAAGTCCCCATCCTCTGAATCCAATGCTGGATGACCCGGAAAAAGAAATCACTACCTTTAGGAGCTTTAAAATAGGGATTTATCACTATTTTGCAAGAAAACGGTTTATAGAAGGCATTGTTCCAATAAAATGTGTACACTTTCTGCCTGGGACATGATTTAAAAAACAAACACACACACAAAACAACTCCCTTAGCAGCAGCCATGAGCATAGGAACGGTGGACTTGGAAGGTGATGCGATGTAAGGCCCAGGTAGAAGCAGCCCATCTGATCTCTCTAGGCTTCCAGAAGGGGGGGTGGTGGTGTTGGCAGGAACCATTTAACAGATGTGACCCAGGATGGCCCCCAGGCGAGGGTCTCGGGGACCACACTGCGAGGACCCCGTGTCCTCCGGGGAAATGACAGCTTTGTGCCCACGGCTGCTTATCGAGTCCTCCCTTCACAGTGAGCTTGCCATCCGAAAGGCTTACAGAACCGAATCCGGTTGAATCTCTGTGTAGCGTTCAACGTCCGAGGGTCAACCCATCTGTTGGCATTTTGCACACTTATGTATTATTATGATGCAGCATATTACTTTATGGTAATTTTTATTTTTGCATATAACTACCTCCATAAATTTGATGAAGCGGCAGCCGTGCGTTGATGTGTATTGGTCAGAAAAATTGGAGTTTCAGAACTCGCGTGCCATGAGGCCGTGGCGCGTGCGTGTGCGTGTGCGTGTGCGTGTGTGTGTGTGTGTGTGTGTGTGTCGGCGATCACCTCCGTGGACTCATGACTTTCTCATCGCCATGGTTTTCTTTCGCGGCATTATTTCACTTTCAGACGGAAGCCTGTCTATCCCCTCCTCCCCCGCCAAGCGCACTTGGCTTTGTGATGAATGGTAGGAAGTTTGAATTTCTTGTCTCCTTTCCCTGCCCGCTCCCCCCGCCCCCAATTCTTGCTAAAAAGTTCCCCCTGGTGAAGAGCCCATTGGTGAACATAACAGAGCAAGCGGTTTACTCCCATAAACATCTGAGGTGAATTCTCGGTTTTCAGTCACTGAAGACACACGGGACTGGGGAGCACTGGTCCTCTGCCCTCCCCACGCTGGCATACTGAGCCCGGCGTCGCTCCTGGGAAAGAGCTGTGCCTGTGCCCACGCCCCCGGTCACACAGGCTGTGTTCCGTTTTATATATCTGTCCATCTCAGGGGACCGCATATGAAGGGGTGCACCAAACACAGGGAGTGGATGGGAGAGCTGAAAGGCGATGGGATAGCTGGGTAAAGATGACAAAAAAAAAATTAATAAAAATAAATGACCGCTTCTCTGACTTCAAGAAGCAGACATTTTTTTTAAACAGTGAAACTGGGGTAACGGAGCCGAACACCAGCTGTCCCCAGGTCTCCCTTCCCCCCAGCCCAGCCAGCATTTCTAAAATGCAAATTTCAGTTCCGTTAGGTCACCCGGGGGAGAGAAAAGCCCCCTGTGATGACGACAGAAGCATCGCCCCCTTGTTGGGCTGGCCCGGCTTCTGCCGATGCCACCCAGGAAAGCCACTCCTCACCACGAAGTGTCCTTGGACACAGGTTTCTGGTTCAAAGCCCAGGCCTGTCGCTCACAATCCCGTTGTGGCGACATTCTGCAGAGGCTCGGTGCGCGCCCCGGGCAGTGCTTGGAGCTCGATCAGAAACCCGCCCCGCCCCGTACTGACTTTGCACATCGCCCTGGGGCCTCGGAGTGCTCCGGGAGCACCGGGCCCACAGGCCTCCCTGCACCGGCCCTCCGTCGCGCCCGTGCCTGAACACGGGGGGAGGGACACGGCGGCCCGGCACCCAGCGGCAGCTGTCGGTGGTCTCTGTTCTACCGGTCTGATAGACATCCTGAGCAATCAGCCAACACAATGCTGCTTTTTTTTCTGACGTGTGCTAATAAAGTCAAAGAAAGCGAACACAGCGTCCCACCATTGTCCATCTTCATTCAGAAAGCTCAGGGCGCCTGCCATGTGACTCCCCCCTGTGCCCCTTCCCCGGAGCGACGGGCGGAGGGGACCGTCCATCCGCTCCCGGCAGAGCCACCGCAGGCGGCGGTAGATCTAGGCACAGACCCGTGTTCCCGGTTGCCTGTCGGCTCTGTGATTCCTGTGTCTTTCAAGGAGCACGACTGCTCCGGGCGGTGGAAGGTGCCGAGACGGGAATCTCAGTGAAGAGCCGTATCAAGGTCTCGGCGCTTCAGCAAGCCGGCCCTTGGCGAGCCCTGCTCGGGAGAAGCTGGGTTTCCCAGGGAGCTGGTCCCGCTGGGAGTGTCCTCACATTGGGAGATGGGACGTCCTGGATGGGGGCCTTCCCTGAGGCCACAGGCGGGTCACAGGACTCGCGGGCCGCGTTCTGCCGGAACGGTGGACCCCAGAAGTGGCCCTCCCCTTCCCTCTCCCAGCCCCTGTGCCCCCGGCCCGTTCTCATGGGTTCCCGAGTGGCTCTCCCGCACATGTTTAGGGCTCGGGGAAGCTAGGACACAGGAAACAGGAATGCAACGGCCATGGAGAACGTTGTTTTGCTTTGGGTCAGTCAAACAGGGGCAGGAAAGAGATTGCCATCGGTCTGATCGTGGCCACGTCAGATAACCGAATCGGCTGTCACTCCGTCACTCTCCCAGAAGGGTTGACGGTATGGAGGCTACATCCAATATTTCCCCATTTCATAAATTACACACACAATTCATGATTAAACTTCCTGGTGTGTCTGAAACAGACCTCAGCATCTCCCTGACCGAGTTCATCTCGGGTGTCTTGCAGCAGCATCCCAGCGATGGCTCCCCTAGCACACCCTCCCGGGTGTTCACAGTTGTGTTTCCTACGACTTACAGTTGCTGGTTTGCAAGGTTCAGCATTCTACCCAGCTCAAGGGGAATTCAACCTCCTCCTTATGATTGTACCTTATCTGGTATTGGGCTTTACGTCGCTCCTGTTGGCTTCAAATGCGAACACACACATGCGTACACGCACGCGCACACCTGCGCACATGCAAACGCACACATGCGCACACACCCTGCCAACGAGGGAAGGGGCTGTTTCCCACAGGAGGCAGTGACCCCCGGGAGCCCACGGAAGGCTAGAAGCTTGGCTGGTCCACGTATCGCCGCCTACCTCCCTGTCCGAAGGTTGACCTTGGCACCCCATCCCCTCGCTCCCACCAAAAAGAGGTGCCCAATCTGAGATCGGGGGGAGGTCTCTAACCTCAGTCCTCGGCAGTTCTAGGACACGTATCATGAACGACACACGCAGCAGCTCCTCGCCTTCCTGTCCTCCGCTGTCCTCCCTGCCTCCCCCCCACCCCTCCCCACCTCCCCCCTCCCCACTAGAGACCCATACACCGCCTCGGTCTCCACATTGGAAGGGCAAAGTCGTGTGTGTGGCATTGGCACACATGGACGGTTAGCCCCAGAGCTAACGCCAGGTCACCTTCCTGTGAGTATCGACAGCTACAGATCAAGGTCCTTAGAGTAGTTGACATAGATACGACTTCCTAGCAGAGAATTAAATTTCGGCGTACAGTTTAAAAAGGGATCGTAATTCTGCAGGTACCCTCCTCGGAGTGACTGAATGTGACTATTGCATTAGGGGTAAATGAATTAAGAAGTGCAAGTGGGATTTACTGTATGTTAGGAAGGAGTTTTGCAGCCAAGACTGCCTTGAATAAAAATGTGTTTGCACTGAAAAAAAAAAAAATTTTAAATTACTTGGTCTCTGGTTGCTGTAAAGGTCATCCAAGATGGATGTTCTGTTTATATTGTATAGTATTTCATATGAAATAATTACAGTTCATGAAATGTCTTCCCTAATGTTACTGATTTATAACAGCACATTTGTAACATGGTTTTTATCGTGTCAGTGTGCCATATTGTAAATGATGATTACTTGTCATGCTTAGTATAATAACTTAAAAGAAAAAAAAAGCACAGGGATTTTTGTAAGTCTATATTTGAAAGTCCCTCCACATGGTAATATTGTGTTCATGTTGTTTCTGTAGTGTTGTGTGGAATATCCATTTTGGATTGTGTTACTTTTTAAAATATTAAATAACATTTGGTTATATGTCTAAGTGGATTTTTTTTGGCACCCAAGAAAGAATAGATGAGATCAACTTATGTCTCTGCTCTGTTTAATATGATTTCGTTACAAAGTTTTATTACATGATCGTGATTAGAGCTTTTGAAGTAAAACAGCTGAAAATAGGAATTTCTGGTCAAAATCTTTTTCCAGGAATGTTGAAAAACATCACATTTTTTACTAGCTATTCAAATGTAAAAGACGGAGACTTAGAGATGCATATAATTAAGTGTTCTATAGGAAATTATAAAGAGATGTGGATGTTGTTTTGTTAGCACTCAACTCCTATCCTCAAATAAATGTGATTTTCACACACGCGCACACACACACACACACACACACACACACACACACACACACACACACCAGTGAGCATCCACAGATACGGGCATCCTCCGATGAGGTGCTTGCACAAGGTCAGAATGCCTCCAGACTTGATTGCCCTCAGATCTGCCCAGTGCTCCTTTGTCTCCGCTCAGTGGTGGCCAGTCTTTGTCCTGGGAGAATGGACTTCGTCTTTCCAACCTAAAAGTGATCTGTTCAAACAATTAAGCTAGGACTATGGTTGGCAAACTGCGGCTCGTGAGCCACATACGGCTCTTTGGCCCCCTGAGTGTAGCTCTTCCACAAAATACCATGGCCTGGGAGAGTCTATTTGGAAGAAGTGGCATTAGAAGAAGTTTAAGTTAAAAAAATGTGGCTCTCCAAAGAAATGTCGGTTGTTATACTGTTGATATTTGGCTCTGTGGACTAAAGAGTTTGCCAACCACTGAGCTAGGACACAGCATTCTTTTCTTTAATGTTGATTTTTAGGGGGGAGATAGGCAGGGAGATGGATGATAGAAACATCCATAGGAGAGACAGTTCATCGTCAGCTGCCTCCTGCACGCTCCCTATTGGGGATCGAGCCCACAACCTGGGCATGGGCCTTGAACAGGAATCAAACCAGTGACTTCCTGGGTCCTGTTTATGTTGTATAGTGTGGTTAGCCCCAGAGCTAACGCCGGGTCACCTTTCTGTGAGTATCGACAGCTACAGATTAAGGTCCTTAGAGTGTTAATAGTTGACTCAGCCTCTGAGCCACACCAGCCGGAAGAACCAGCATTCCTTTTCTTTTTTTCTTTTTTAAAAATATATTTCATTGATTTTTTACAGAGAAGAAGAGAGAGAGATAGAAACATCGATGAGAAAGAAACATCAATCAGCTGTCTCCTGCACACCCCCCACCGGGATGTGCCCGCAACTAAGATACATGCCCTTGACCGGAATCGAACCTGAGACCCCTCAGTCCACAGGCTGATGCTCTATCCATTGAACCAAACCGATCTTGGCAGGAGTGGGGCCTGACTTTCTTGTCAAAGCGACGCCCAAGCGGGCTTCCTGCTTCGGACAATGGCAGGCGTGGGGGTCTGTGGGGAGACCTCCAGGCTACAACTTGGAAGGACAAGCCTTATTTTAGAGGAAAGAGTTTGTCTCTGTCTCAAATGGCCCCAGGACAGACGCTCCCATTTTTTAGGAGTGAAGTTCGGAAGAGCAAGAATACTGAGAGTGCATTGTGAGCTTCACGCCGGGCCAGGGGCTGCGGTGCTGAGGGGAGGGCGGGGTGCCTCCCAGCTCGGCACATCAGCTGGACACGGAGGCGATGCGGTGCTCACTGAGGAGAAGGAAGGCTGGACTCGGACCCCTGTGCGAGAATGGTCACCGGGCAGAAGAACCTTTTCTTTCCAAAGGAAACAGGATGGTTTTAACCTATTTTTATGTATGTCGAGTGGTGGGATTTTTCTTTCCTCCCATAAAGACAACCCAAGCAGAGTACTCCGTATTTGCCCCAACCCTGTTCCAGCTATGAAATCTAGAGCCACTGAATAATAATAAGTTATTCACCCAACTTTAATAGTTCATTTAATGGTGAAAGCTTATCCCTGCTGTGGGAATAGATGGATTCAATGACAATCCGCCTCTTTGAGCTCAGTGGCTCCAGACTTTTCCTGTAAAGTGAGTAGTTCATCATGGGACACGTGTGTGTGTGTGTGTGTGTGTGTGTGTGTATGTGTGTGTGTGTGAGTGATGAATATTCACAGAGTGCCTTGCACACATCACACAGGAGTTTCAAGAAAAATCAAGACACCTGCTCTTGAGATAGACTGGAGAAGGTTTCTGGCGAGTCTTAAAAGAGTTGCATTAGCCGAAACCAGTTTGGCTTGGTTTAGTGGATAGAGTGTCAGCCTGTAGACTGAAGGGTCCCAGGTTCGATTCCAATCAAGAGCATGTACCTTGGTTGCGAGCACATCCCCAGCAAGGGATGTGCAGGAGGCAGCTGATCGATGTTTCTTACTCTCTATCCCTCTCCCTTCCTCTCTATAAAAAAATCAATTATATATATATATATATATATATTTTTTTTTTTATTTTTTTTTTTTATTTTTTTTTAAGAGTTGCAATACAAGTGGGACGTTAGGCGTGAAAGGGAGGGTCGGCACCTTAGATGAGACGAGGGAGGCCAGCGGTGTGGGACTGGGATGTGAGGGGTGACATGGAGCAGATGCTCATGAAGGGGCCAGTCTCCCTCCTCCATCAGCGAGGACTTGGGGACTGGTGTCTGCAGCTCAAATGGAGGGAACCTCCTGCACCTTGGCCAGCATGGGCGTGTCTGGGTGACCACTTACACAGGTGACCCCACATTCCATCAAACACGCTCCTCCCAGGCCACCTGCCTTCATGCCCTCCTTTCTTCTCTTTGTTGTGAAGTTCCATGCATTACTTTTCTTTGCTGTTACCTAGGGTGCATTTTACTTCACTCTTTTCTCTACGTAAAACCAATTATTTGTGTTTGTTGTTATGCTATCTTGTCCCTTAATATTTTGACTCATTCCTGACCTCCATTATATAAATGTAAATATCTAGAATGTTTATTAATATAGTAATATATTAATAACACAGGAATGTATAACATATAATTTATATATATATATACACACACACACACACCACTGCTTGCTAGTGTTTTATTTATTTATTAAATATATTTTATTGATTTTTTTTTTTTTACAGAGAGGAAGGGAGAGGGATAGAGAGTTAGAAACATCGATGAGAGAGAATCATCAATCAGCTACCTCTTGCACACCCCCTACTGGGGATGTGCCCGCAACCAAGGTACGTGCCCTTGACCGGAATCGAACCTGGGACCTTTCAGTCCGCAGGCCTACACTCTATCCACTGAGCCAAAGTGGTTTCAGCTGATTGCTAGTGTTTTACATTTCACATTTATATTGCCTTTCCCTCTTTGCATCCACAGTCCACTATTTTCCTCCAATCTCATTTTCTCTCATCTTTGTGCTAAGAGACTTTTGTTCTTCAACATTTATACAGAAATCTGCCAAAATTTCAGAGATAGATAGATGGATAGATAGCTTTTGCATTAGACCAGAGACCCCTGGACTGATGTAGTCTGTAAGTGGCAATGAAACAAAAAGCCATGCAAGAACGTTCAGTGTGGCTCCTAACCAACCACAGTGAGGAAGGTATGTGTTCACTGTGATTTTTTTTTTTTTTTTTTTTTTTTTTTTTTTTAGCCCTTCCGAACTTTCTGGGACTTTATTTTAATTTTTTAAATTTTTGTTTTAGAGAGAGGAAGGGAGAGATGGGGAGAGAAACATCAGTGTAGGAGAGAAACAGTGATTGGCTGCCTCTTGCACACACCTCCGACTGGGGACGGAACCCGAAACCTGGGTATGTGCCCAGTCAGAGGATTGGACGGACCACCTGCTGGCACACAGCATGATGCTCCCACCAATGGAGCCAGGGCTCTGGTACTTTAAGATGCTCTGGTTCACGTGTACATTTTCTGATAGGATCCGCCGCTTTTCTGAGGAGCCCGGGCTTCGTTCCTTGGAGGATGGAGTTAGAAACCCAGGCTGAGGTGCTAGGAAAGCCCACCGCTGCTGGAGAGCCCACATTCCTAGGCCCTTCGGCCGAGGCAGCAAGGAGATAGAGCAGGGCGATACTCGTACATGTGAGTATACTCATCTGTTTATATGTACGTGTCCATAAATATCGCCACAGGCAACATCTGTCTCTCCAGTGAGCTCCATGCGAGTTCATTCTGATGGAGCCAATGCTGATCCGTTACTACAGAGATCACGCCAGTCTTGCCCCCTGCTTATCTATGACCCCCTGCTCCAGCCTGAGAGGCATGGCCATGCTTAGCTGTTCACTTGCAGTAGATAGGTTTGGTACTTCACCCATGGCACTTTATAAAACTGGCTAGAGGCCCGTTGCAGGAAGATTCCTGCAATAGTGCTTCTTGTGGCGGTCCCTGCAGCCCCACCTGCTTTCCTCCCTTCTCCGCGCCCCCTCCCTTCCCTCCTTTCTCCCGCCCCCCCCCCCGCCCCGCTTCCCTCCCTTCTCCACCCCTCCTGCTTCCCTCCCTTCTCTGCCCTGCTTGCTTGCTTCTCCACAGTTTTGCTCCCTTCTGCAGCGCTTGGCTTCTGCCTGTCTTCGCTCTGTGCCTGGATATGCAAATTAACCACCATCTTGTTTTGGCTAATTTGCACACCAAATCCTAATTGGCTTGTGGGCATGGCTTGTGGGCGTAGCAAAGGTACGGTCAATTTGCATACTTCTCTTTTATTAGATAGGATGAGATAAATATGGTTAAACACGGAAATGAAAATATAGAACATTTTCTAAAAAAATAGACTATCTAGCGTGACAGAATGGTGAAGACCGTAAACTTACTAATGGACGTATTGTGTCCTACTAAGATTGACCTAAAGAACTGTAAGGTTCAGAGTAAAGGGGGTCATGTTAATATTATTTCATGTGTGTCTTCCTGTATGTCGCCCTGCCAGGGCTTGGAAAGTGGTGTGTGGACATCACAGTAATTACATGTTTGGTAAGCCCCATGTCCTTCCTCCATGCCCGATCTCTCATGTCTAAATGTTAATCACGTTTCAGGGTCTACACCACAAACCCATCTTTCCCCG